CTTCTCTTTTCCAGATTTCAATTCCCACTTGAACAATTCTTCCCATATCTGTTCTTCTTCCCTCAGCATTATATCTCCAGCATTTTCTCATACTATCAAATTGTTGGGGGCTATCAAGGGGCAATCCTCAGGGATCCAGGCCTAAGAAAGAAAAGAAAATGATTCTACACAAGGCTTAGAGAAGAGCAAATCTAGGCAAAAGGCCACATGGTTATTATCCTGACTCATATATTAGACCTTGTGTGTTGAGTTGGAGAAGCCATTTGGTGAAGCTCTAGGAAGAAGGTCCAGGTATCTCTTAAGACTGAATGCCAGACAATGCCCTAATTGGAATGATACATTCTTAAATGACTATAAATTCCAATCAGATGAGACACATGACTTTGTCTCATGGTGTCATATGACATTAGAAAACAAGCATTTTCCATGTCAAAAATGGCCTTACACTTTAGTATGTATCCTTGTCACTGCTTTTTACTTAAGGACTATTCTTATATTTTTTTCTCATTAGTAAGACACAGCTTGTTTTTACTTTTGCACAAAATCTTTAGCAGCACCATATACCATTTACATATATCCATATTAATAATTACTCTTTCTGAGTGCTTGAATTTTCGTATATTTTATTCCAGAACACACTTAGGAAATTATACAGTCAAAAACATATGGTATGTCACTCACTGTGAGAAAAAATAATCACTTTCAAAATGTCTTTCCCATGCATTATCATCCCTTCCCTATGTACATATAATATGTACTTTTATAAAATATTGTTCAAATTTCCCAGTACTATGATTGTTAAAGTAAGTTTTTATCACTTATAGCTTGAATGCTTTTCAAATACCATTTACAAATCTTTGGAATACTAACATGTTTAAAAATATTGCCACTTTTTAATTTTGAGGTAAAATTCATGTCACATGAAATTAACCATTTTAATGTGTACAATTCAACGATGTTTAGTATAGTCACAATGCTGTGCAAGTATTATCTGTATCTACTTCCAAGTCATTTTCATTCCCCAGAGGCAACCCTAGATCCATGAAGTAGTTTTTCTCCATTACCCATTTGCCCAGCCCCTGGCAAATACTAATCTGCTTTCTGCCTCCATGGATTTACCTACTCTAGTTATTTCATATAAATGGAACCACGTAGTATGTGACCTCTCCTCTTTCCTTTTCCAATTAGCATGATTTCAAGGTACGTCCATGCTGGAACACTCATCATTTTGTTTATCCATTCCTCAAGGGATGGACATTTCTCTAGTGTCCACCTTTTGGCTACTGTGAATAGGCTGTTATGGCATATGTATATACATGTACTTCTGTCGTGTAAATACTTATTGTCAGTTCTTTTGGGTATCCACCTTGGAGTGGAGTTACTGGGTCATAAATTTTTAAAACCATCTTGGCATTTTTCTGCTGACATTGGTTGGACTTTGAGATTTCATTAAATATTCAATTTCATTTGTTTTGCTGCAGGGTAAGTTCTAAAAGAACTCCAAATAACCTTTTCTTTTCTTTTTTTTTAACTTTTTTAAAAAAATTTTTTAATGGGTAACAAATAGCCTTTTTTTCCACAGTTTACTTGCCGTTTTTATTGTTCTCAAGTGAAAGATCCCGCCTTCAGACACAAAAATATGATACTAAAATTCTTGAAAAAACTCTGTGCCATATGGTACTTCTATGTTTAAATATTTGAAGCATTGCCAAACTGTTTTCCATTGCAGCTACACATTTTGCATTCCTACCAACACTGTATGAGGGCTCCAATTTCTGCACATCTTCATCAATACTTGTACTTTTCTTTCCTTTTTTTTTTAAACTTATAGTGGGCATGAAGTGGTATCACTTGGTTTTAATTTACATTTCTGTTTTGACTGTTGCATATCTTTATGTGCTTGTTGGCTATGTATCTTCTTTGGAGAAACATATATTTTCAAGTCTTTTTTCTATTTTTTAAATTGGGTTATCTGCCTTCTTGTTGTTGAGTTGTAAAAGTTTTTTTATATATTCTGGATATTAGAACTTTGGCAGATAAATAATTCACAATTTTCTCCCATTTTACAGATTGTCCTTTTACTTTCTTGCTAGGACCTTTGACACACAAACTTTTTTTTTTTTAATTTTGATGAACTTCATTTATTTTTTTCTCTTGTCTGTTCTTCTGGTGGCATAGCTAAGAAACCACGATCAGATCCAAAGACATGAAGATTTGTCTTTATATTTTTCTCTAACGTTTCATGGTTCCTCCTCTTACATTTAGAACTTTGACCCATACTGAGTTAATTATTGTATATGGCCTGAAGTATGTGTCTAAAGTCTTTCTTTTGTATGTGGATATCCTGTCATCTCAGCACCATTTGTTAAAGAGACTATTCTTTGCCTTTGAATTACCTAGACACCTTTTTTGAAAATCAATTGACCATAGTGTATGGGTTTATTCTGCACTCAATCTATTTATTGATCCATGTGTCTATTCTTAATTTGAGTACCAGACTGCTTTGGTTACTATAGCTTTGTAGCAAGTTTTGAAATATGGAAGTGAGTCCTCTAGCTTGTTCAAGATTCAAGATTGTTTTGGCTACAGAAGTCACTTGCAATTCCATACAAATTTTAGGATTAGCTTTTCCATTTCTGCAAAAACATTTGTTGGAATAATGACAGCGATTACATGAAATCTGTAGATCCCTTTGGTAGTATTGCCCTCTTGACAATATTTAGCATTCCAATCCATGAATAAAGGAAATCTTTTTTTTATTTAGGTCATCTTTAATTCTGTCATCAGTAATTTTCAATATACTAGTCTTTAAATATTGTCCTAAGTATATTATTCATTTTAATACTATTATAAATGAAATTGTTTTAATCCACAATGCTAGTGGATACAAATACTGTGAGTTGCTTTTCTATCCTGCAGTGCTTTCTGAATTCATTAATTAGCACTAATACATATTTTTCTTGCCTGATTCTCCCTGAGATCAGGAACAAGATAAGAGTGCCCACTTTGCCAATTCTATCAAACATTTTAGCCAGGGCATTCAGTCTTTTACTATTGAGCAAACTATCAGGTGTGGGTTTTTCACAAACGCCCCTACCATGTTGAGGAAATTCCCTTCTATTTCTACTTTGTTGACTATTTTCAGTTGCTCTTGCAGAGGGGTACAGAGCTGAAGTTTCCTCCTCTGCCATATTCATTGATGTCAAATTTGCCACCTGTTTTGGTATTTCTAGAAACAATCATGCTTCTTTAAAACATACCTTTATAACAGTCATGTATAAGGAAGTGAAGCAAAATCACAGGTAATGCCACTTCCAATAGAAAAGGACTTTTAAAATGTAGATTGATATTTAATCCTTTTCACTGTTTTTGGTACCCATCTGTTTATACTTATCTGCTCCACTCGAACACCTAAACCTTCTTTGCTTAGCTGTTCCACTTACATTCAGGTCCTCCTAGTTCCAAGCAGCGGGTCTTTAGACAATTGGGTGCCTCGGAGACCTTCAGGAAGCACAGTGGCTCCTGCAGTATGCCACCTGGTAGGCCTCACGGGATGGAGGCTGCAACAAAATTAGGGTATTTTGAAACTATTTCCGCACGATGGCAGTAGTGCCCACAAGCCCTGTCCTAAAGCCCTCTTCTCCCGCCCTTCCTGTCTGAAAAAACAGCACCAACAAACAAGAGAGCCAGAAAACATGGCGGCCTTGCATTTTGCCCAGTTCTGGTTGTACTTTTGACTTTGGTTTGTGTCTGAAATCAAATTGAGTTCTAAAACTACCATCAGGCATCTTATCTTTCAGAAATTAAATTTCCACCCAAACTAGTCTATATGCATCAGCTTTTTTTCATTTAATATTATGTTGACCCTACATATCTGTGGTTCAGCATCCAAGGATTCAACCAAGCACGGATTGAAAATTTAAAAAAAAAGAAAAATTCCAGTAAGGTCCAAAATGCAAAACTTGAATTCGCTGTGGGCCAGCAACTGTTTACATAGTATTTACATTGTATTCGCTATTATATGTAATCTACAGATGATTTAAAGTTCAGGGGGGATATGCTTAGGTTATATGCAAATACTGCGCCATTTTATATAAGGGACTTGAGCTTCTGGGGATTTTGGCATCTACACGGGGTCCTAGATGATTGTACTTTCTAGCACTTTAACATAAAATCAACTGTCTGCTTCAAATGATAAGTTACATGGATCCAGGTTGAAAAGTAAGAAGAAATTGCCTGGACTCTGTAGGAGATCATCTCTAGCCACCAATTCACAAATCCAAGTGGTCTTAGACCTGGCTTCCTACCCAGGCAATGGTAAAGAGTCCTCCATTTTTTGCCTCATGTGTTGAATAATTGGCAAGTGTTTGGGAGAAGTTATTGGAAAAGGCCCAGGTAACTCACATCAGTATATATACCATACACTGCTCCACAAGGCATGATACCTTTACTTACATGAATATAAATTCCAATCAGAAGTTAGGCAGGGTTTTGTCTCATAGCTTCATCATTTAGCATTAGAACATAGCGCTTTCTCATGTCATTAAACATTCTTCAACTTCTTCATGTGACAGCTTCATGAAAATCTTAGTATTCACAAATATTTGAAGGACAAATAGAAATACTTGATCACAAATCACACTTTCCTGACGCAACCACCATTACCAACTTGATAGATACACACATTCAAATATTATATATGACTGATCATGATTGCCGATACCATTTAACTAAATAGATATAAGCTCATCAATATACTCCCCTATTTGTTCAAAGGAGTGTTCAAATCACATAAAACACATACATTTGTAGACAATGCATTAAATCTTTGTTCAATTCCATCCTGGTCACACTATACGTACAATTCAGTGCCATGGATATTTCACTCAATATTAGTTAATGGGAAACTTCCAATGACATTAAGTATTCACAAGGTAACTGATAGTACTTTATTGCTAAATCTCATAACACTTCTTTACTGTTGCTCAAATCCTAAGGATATTATAAGTATCTGGCAAAGAAATACAAAATTGAACAATTCTAAAGAAGTAAATGAGGGATATTTTTTATTGGCAAAAGCTCAACAGAAACTCAATATTTTGATTTATTGCATTCTGATCATTCTACTTATATTTTTACTGGATGTAACAGGTGTGTATATACATGAAAATTGTGTTTGTCATGGATTTCAAGTGACATCATTTATGTGGAATTTCCTTGTGGCTTGAGATTTCTCCTATCACTTTCTCAAGTCTTACGTAGAGAGTTTACTTGAATTTCATTAAATATATTTTGGTGATCAGATTTTGTGCTAAGAACTAAATTATTAAAAGCTTTTAGTTTCCTTGACTATAAAAAGCAAGATATTTAATCATTCTATCATGTAGATAGTGCTGTATGTCTTTTTTAGAGAATATAATTATTACACAGAATATTATCAAAACTAAGCCTTGTTTGTTAACATTTCAAGCCTTCATTATGTGGACAAAAAATGCTGCCTGCCATATCAGCAAACAAAGAATGTTATGGCCATCAGGCCCTCAGCCACTGCAGCTGCCCCCAGAAAGGGGAGCCCTGAGGGAGCTCAAGATGGAAACAAACAGGCCATCAAGCCCTCAGCCATTGCAGCCATGCCCAAAGTTACACCCTGAGGGAATTCAGGATGGGAAAGAATAGGATGCTGGTCCTAGACAGTTAAGGTGCCTAACAATGGAATGATTTCAATGAGCACAGTCTTCCATTTTCCCATACATGAAAAAAAAAAGCACTAAGTTCTTTAACTTGAGATGTCCGATGTTTCTTTAATTAACAATAATCTTTTGATGTTCCCACTACCCAGTTTTTGTTGCAAAAACTCCTATATATCCTTGCTCCTCTCTTACCCTTTGGAAGTCTCTCAGAGCTATCTGAGACGCTGACTCCTGGGCTTAAGTCCTCTGAAAGTCCAACAAATAAAACATAATTCTCAATGTTCAGGTTCTGCATTTTTTTTCTAGTTGAAAATTATATATAGGCAAAACTTGAAAGTACACCCTCAAAAACACTGCTTTAGAAATGAAGACACTGTTAGTTGTGTTCTTCAAAATTTTAAACATATATCCCATATGAATATAGGCTCTGTAGAATACATAAATATATGTTTGGTTCAAATATATCACATATGTTAGAAGTAGAGTAAAACACAATTTGTTTTGCCATTTCTTTTACCTGGTGTTGGAAAACTTATATTTTAATCTTTGAGGTCCAACAGTTTGCTTTTCACCCTAAATCACAGGAAAGGAATAACACCATCCTTTTCAGGGGCATTCCAAGGA